TTGGAGGGCGCCTGCTGCATTTGTGGTACACCCATTCGTAACGCAAAATAGTGTTGGTGCTTCGATTACTGGATCAACGGAAGGATGAAAACGATACACTCACAAATTTTTCAACGAAAGCCACTTCCGAAGCCATAGCAGATGAAGTTCAAAGCCGAATATGCGCCAATAATTTTCAAAAGAGATCGATTAAAACAAATCGCAAAAATGACGGCAGATGAGGGTGGTTTTCATTCCACGCATATATGCGAAGAAGTGCAACGTTTTGACGTTAAAGTTTTTATTTCGCCCGCAGGGGGTTTACAGAAAAATGCATTGTGCTTCTAGCCGCTGGCGTGTATCAATCCGTGAATCCGTGAGCCCGGTGACCTTGGGGTTGAGATTTTTGTCCAAGCGCCCACGTGGCCCTCCGCACCCACACACTTTTCCGACATGTTGCGGTTTATCCTTGCTTCGCTTGTACTCCTTAGCAGTATTTTTGACGTCTATGGACGCAGGCACGTGTTAAAACTAAAAGTAAGCATCCAAGTTCACATGTTCCAGCTTTGTAGAACGATTTACGTGGAGCAGTACTCTGCAGTCGGTTCGGCTTTATGAAAGGCGGGTACTTTTCAGTCTCGCTTGAACAGCTGGATGGAAATCTTATGGATGTAAGTAAAATACGCTTTCATAAAATCTCACACTGTATTTGGTAACTGTCTTCGGTTGTGAAGATGACAAGGCCGAAGTTGGAGCGAGTAGTGGGTGGATTTATCTTTACCTCCGGTACCATGACCCAGTGGGTTCTTACACGGCTTAGACGTCCTGAATTTATGTCGATGAGGACGGTTAACGACCCCATATTGTGCTTGAATTCGTAATTGGAGTAAGGATTAAGAAACAAATACGTCTCATTTGTCGATTAGCTTGGCCCGGTTTGCGGTAATATATTTCTCATTCTAACGAGGTGTTCTTTGCCAAAAGGGTGATTTTAAACATGATACGGCGGATATCGTTGGAAATGCATATGCCTGAAATCATACGCCTTCATGATTAGACCAGATAGGAGAGAGGGGGTAAAAAATTATATCATGTCTAACCGGTGATTCTTGTGAGTTTAAAGGAGTGAGCCCAAGTCAGTACTAAGTAATTTGGCGGACAACATGTCATTTATATGCGAGTATACTTGCGTACAAGCTACCATAGAGGCGTCTGCACGCAAGTGGGAAAGTTCGATATGAAGAGCAAGAAGGGTGTGGCAGGTATTCGAGGTAAAGGGTGAGCCCGGTACTAGACATTATCCAATAGTCTGGATACGGGAGAGCTGCAATACATGAGATTTCGGCCGATAAAGGATGAGTTGAGAGTCTGAATAATGGTCCTGTTGTGATAGGCAAACATACTTCGGGAAGGTCCATGAGTAAAGTCGATTATACTATTCAATGTAGGTGTAACCTACAGACGACCAGCGTCTCCAGATTTGTGTTTTCTCGAAGGAATACGGGTTAAATAGGGACGCTCTAAAGAAAACCGCATGCTCCGATCGCCAAGCGGCTGGCCTTGACCGCTGGTGACTAATTCACTAGGCCCATTATCATCGACATAATAATACCGGTGTTCAACGCTGATGCCTTATCGCCGTACGCATGTTGAAACCCATATCTTGGAGAAGAGAGTAGATGCGGAAGTGACCTAGTGCCAGTTTAGCGCAACCATTCTGAGTTGCCTACGTTCAAAAAATTGTTCAGCTGTAGCACCCTTCCGTGCCTAACTGCCGGCTGGCCTTGACCGCTGGTGACTAATTCACTAGGCCCATTATCATCGACATAATAATACCGGTGTTCAACGCTGATGCCTTATCGCCGTACGCATGTTGAAACCCATATCTTGGAGAAGAGAGTAGATGCGGAAGTGACCTAGTGCCAGTTTAGCGCAACCATTCTGAGTTGCCTACGTTCAAAAAATTGTTCAGCTGTAGCACCCTTCCGTTGCCTAACTGCCATGCCACCAGAGAGGAGGCACGAGGGCTGGGATACTGCCAGGTTGCCCAAGCCTAGACAGGGGAAGTCGAGAGGCAGAGGTTGGGCTCAAACCACGGACCTTCCGGTCAGTAAATTCGCGCTCTAACCACTTGAGCCATCTCGCCCCCGAGGTGCCTACACCTCCACGCTCATTCAGACAATATTGATGGAAACTGACGACAGGAAGGCCGCTGGTGTCGATTAACAGCAAAATTTTACAGCATCCAACCAGGAACAGTGAGGATCACGTTGACACCATGATGGAAGGAGATTATCACCGACAGCGTCCGAATTTTTCGTTATACCTTTGATGCTTGTTTGCCAACGCGCCGTGCATGGCCTAGCCAGTGCGGGTTCTGGTGCTTTACATTTTTCATTAAAGGTTTCCATTGCACAACTGAACACGTGCTTTCCAGTTGTCTCGCTACATGTTCGCTGATAGCGACCCACGAGCTATAGTTCTGAGACAACGGTTGTCGAACGCCTGAAGATGTCTTACCTCCACTAACCGAAGAGGCCACATCTCACAGCCGTACAACAAAACAACCTCCACTGTAGCCTTGTACACATTTCCCCTTTGATTTAGAGACATACTGCTTTGATGCTGTAAGTGTCTCAGGTTGGCAAACGCGATCCGAGCCTTAGAGAATCGTGCATTAGCGTATCCTGTCACACTATAATCAAAATTAATACAACTTCGAAGGTACGTAAAACGCTCCAAAACTTTGAGTGTCTCTCCCTGGATTGTAGGTTCAGAAGCATAACCGTACACTGTGTGCAAAGCGTGTGCCAAAGAACGGTATGACTCTTCAGTTCAACCAAAAACAAGTGCGCCTTTTCTTCGAAGACGAGAATGATGTCTGCTCATTCAGCATCAGCGAAATTTTCGTTAGCAGCTACTTGAACACTCGTGTCTTGAAGACAGCGTTCGTCCCATTATCTCGCCGATCTCGAAATGACATCAGATTGGAGAACTCTACTATGTGTTTGTAGTCTTTTGGAAAAATCTCCATATGCTCTCGCTTTCGGGAAACCCATATTCCTGAAATTTACTGGATATGCCCGAAACTTACTGGGACTAGAAAACTTCACAAAATACTCTAAATGGATGCCTGCAAGCATTCAGGTCCGTCAATCAACCAATCACTCAACTCAGCAACGGTCTTAATCAATGAAAAGTTGAATTCAGATGGCTTGAGGTTCCTTGTAATTGTTGCACTCTGTTGTTCGCATTGAAGCTGTTGTGTTCCTTGGCGAGGACCAGAACTCTACTTATCAGGCCTCACTCCGTCGATGAACTTGACAGAAGAAACTCCGTGGGTGACGCATTCTGCAGTATACCTCAGTTGAGTTGCTGAGGCATGCAAAAAATCACCCCAATAGAAAGTTCAGCCCGTTGAATCTTTATTAAGCCGTCCAAACTACGTAGTGGGTGGTTGTAGCTGATTCAGGATTATCACCCCACATCCGTATTCTTTTGGAAAGGCCCTGGTTGATATGTAGAAGGAAGTTGACATTACCGTGCAAATTGGAGGGGCTACCTCAGAGGAACAACCCCCTCTTGGTTCTCAACACGAGCATTGCCAGTGAACAGGTATGCATTTAGGCCAATTACGTTTGATTACGTTTAATTTAATCGACATTGTTGATTTCCATGGCCTGAATGCAACTTTGTAGGTGATCTAAATCTGACTACAATTTGAAAAGTAACAGTTACCGGGATTCAACTCACAGTGTTATCGCTCATGCACAATTGTAATGTATCCAAATCCCCGTGTAGAGAACAACGTTTATCAATCCTTACACCTCTTTTTAGATGGCTTAAATTTGTCGACAAGTTTACCAGGTAACTTCGTAAAACTTGAATCCCCAGTTTTACACTACTTTCGAAGGCAACCTAATGAAGAAAGTGTTTATCCTAATGTTCCAATACTGCGTATATTCGAAATAAGTCCGTGGTTGAGGCGCGAACTTACCAAGGGGAATGTCTGTGGTGTCAGTCCAACTTCTGCATCTCAACTGATTCTGTCTAGGCTTGGGCAAAGAGGGAGTATCTCAGCTCTCATGCTTCCTTTGGATTGCATGGCAGCTGTGTACTCAAAGACTGCTACGGCTGAACGAATGTATATTCGCCAACCCATAAGAATTTCTGACGAATGCTGTCCTTAAAAACGGGTATATCATAGGCGGGGGGTCCAACCGTGATTCGTTTGATCCTCCCGTTAAAACCAAATTAGTTTGCAACCGAGTGTATTTCACTGGTTTTCACTCCCTTTCCTACCATCCTTAGACAGCTTTTCGGTGTCGTACCGTTCAGTACTTCGTTGTACTCTCTTATTTCAGATAAGTTTCACTCTAGATAGGAGTGAAAACTCTGGCGTGGCTGCTTACCTGGTACGTTTTTACTGTACTGCATATTCGTATATCACTATAGGCAGCCAAACCTGATAGCTGTTTTAGAGGTGACTCACAGAAGTTTCTGTATATGTCTTTTGACAAGAAAAATGAGTAAGTTCCTACTTGATTTGTGACGTTTTTTAGACAAATTGTAATTCATAACCGGGATTTGGAGCTTCAGGGGCTGGTTTTTGAGGCGATCTCAAAGAATATGGATGAGGAAACTGGTCAGAACACCATCATCCCAGCAACGTTGACAGACGCTATTCAGCTGATGCTAGAGTCCCTAAATCTGGTTCCAGATAGGAGCGCTGAATCGGCTACACACATCAGTGAGGTAAGTTATTTGTGTGACACGGTGGAAAGTCATTTTCAATCTTGGTCGGGCCTCAGTTCTCACTTTGGGGTATGGTCTGTACGGACACAGTTAATCGTAGAATTAACTACGGCTTTTTTTCATTTCGGTGAAACCCGGCATGTTATGTTTAACCATCCGGTGCATTGAATAAGGGATCGACACAGTTACCAAAACACTTCATCACTTTAAATCTAATCTGCAGCCGGTATAACTTCGGACATCCGGCATTTGAATTACTCTTCGTTTCAATTAGTAGATGGTGTTTCACCGTTTTTTACTGTCCCATTTTGAAGCTAGAACAACTGGCAACATGGAAAAATCAGGTAAACAAACCACCTGGAAAACTATAGCGACCTCATTTGAAGATGACCAAACCGTCACTACAAAAATTGGCTGGAACCGAGGAGAATAGCTCATCAGAGTAGGAATCTCAGTTTAACTGAAACCCATTGAAAAAGGCGAAGTAGTTGAAAGTTTATACACTGTTTTAACGACTACTGTACATACTCCCTTTTTAGTACAACCGTGTAATTGTATGTGGCTGATGCCGGTGTTGGAGTGTTCTCTCCCCGATAATACAGTCGAATTTGCTTGACTTTTTGGGGTTTCAGGGGAGAGAATACCCTGCTGAAATGTCAGGTGGAATGTAAAGAAGGAACAACTTCTAAGGAAGTCACTGCTAAAAATGATGAACCTGTCGGTACGCAGTCAGGAGTACAAAGTGTGAGGTTTGTTGCAGTCATTGTAACTGGAATCCCCCATACGTTTTGAACGTCACTACCCGGGAATCAGAAGTCTGTTCAGTACAACGATGCTCATCCTAACAGTGTCTTAATCCCGTCCCGGTATAGGAGCGGTAGCATCAAACGAGCATATTGGGCTAGACAACTTGGTGCCCTGTGATGGAACTCTCTTTAGGAGTAAGTAATAAATACGATTAGGAGTTTCCTTTCATATAATTCCACACAGCCCTGTATTGCCACAGAAAGGCCATAGATTTTGAATAGATGAAATCCTACGCATTTCCGAGAATAGTTTGCAATCAGATTCGAAGTTGTGTATTATGTGTGGTTATTACGGAACTCGAAAGGTTATCCTTGAATGTGTACTTTTACATTTAAGGCGGTTCGGGACACTTGTAGTTGTGAAACTGCTCTATATCTGATAGACGCAAACTGCACAGTCATTCAGTGTTATGAATGATTTTGTTTCGAGCTCCGCTTAGGTTAATGGAGCAGATTTACTCGAGTATCCGGTTTCGCAGAAAATATTGTCGGCGACCAAATTCTTCTATTGCCGTTGTTCTCATTCCAAGGATAAATCCTCGAAAGTAATGCGGCGTGACTGGTAGTTTGTTCTTCCTGAGTATACTTTTTACACTGAAATAGCACACTGTTATTCAGCCATCGCAAATGTCGTGCCAGTAGTGAGCATCCCCGACTTTTTCTCTGTAAGTGGGCGCTAACATACACATCGAACAAGCCAAGACTTTTCCTAACACTACTATTTTCATCCTCTCCACTTTCAGCTCCTTAAATCCACACAACTCATTCTGCCAAACTCCTACGAGCAATCTTCAGTGTACCTGCTTCTGCGGCGACTCGCTGAAATCAAATTGTCGGGAAACTTGTCAACCGATGAGGTTGTACGTGCCAAACGTCAAGATAATAAGATTTTGGATGAAGACAAACATTCAATTGAAAAGACAACCACTGGGTATCAACTACCAGAACCAATTGTCGAGATTCTACGTGCCGTCTACAGGATGACAACACCGCTTGGTAAGCTGGTCGCAACGCTGCAGCGTAGAATTTGATGACACTTTGTTATCAGTGATTGACTGGTTATATCTGTAAGTATGTGGTTTATAGCTTCCGATTAGTTTCGATCACTTCCTGTTTTAACCAGTCGTGTGCAGGTGTGTCGTATACGTGGTTGCGAAACATCGATTTCGCATAAGGCCTGCGGGGTTTTATATCTCGGTCCGTCTCAAGTCCTCCCAAATCAGTTTCACTTTCAATGAACCTCAATGACCAAGCCAACAGCCACTAACCCACCGCTACGCACTGATAATGTCACCTTGATTGGTGATGAAACGTTTGCAACCAAATTGCTAAGCTCAGCGAACAAGCCAACGACCATGTACGCTACCTGAGCTACCGACATTCTCCTCTATAGATGACCAAGTCTTCCTATATTGTTATCAGAGCGTTGTGTTAAAAAAATCGTTCAGCGGTAACACTCTTTCGGTGCCACCCGAATGAAGCACCAAGGCTCAGATACTGTGAAGTTGCCCAAGCCTAGACAGGGAAGTCGAGATGCAGAGGTCGGGCTCGAACACGGGCCTCCAGGTCAGTAAATTCATGCTCTAACCACTGAGCCAACATAGTGGTAGCCACTTATTACTTCTGTTTAGACTCAGCTGGCTTATTTTTGCCTTCCCGTTCCGTGGCATTCAGCTGCTCAAGGGTTCTACCTTGTTTCCGGTTGGTCATTAGGCCTTCTTAAGAATTAGCATCCTACCCGATATGATCTGCAATGCAGTTCGGTTCTCGCTCGACTGGAGTTGTACACATGGTGTGCTCACTTTTTTTAAATCGTTTTGTCCGTCAATGTTCCTTGCTAGCCGTTCTCCATGTTTTAAAGGTTATAGACTCTTACAATGTTTTTTTGATTCCCTCATATTGTTTCCTAGGCTCACTTCGGGTGATCCCATATCGTACAGTGAAGGGTGTCATAAAGGCCCGGGTAAGTACTTTTTCACACAAATTCAGTTTAATTCATTCTGATGTTGTGTTCGGTGTATGTCCTTTCGGTCCGTACCAAGGTCCTTTCTGACATTTCGAACTTCTGAATGAGCTCCTCAGTCTTTCCAATGAACTGTTACTGATGTGGCCAGTTTAGGGTCGGCACACATCACCACTATGTTTTATGGTACATTCAGGAACGTGAAATAAATGGTTGTCGGAAATTCGGTGCTTATCTAACTTATTTACCTCAATTCGGGTGGATGAGACTGTCCCAGCCAGCTAAGTGTGTCCATAGTACTGTACATTTTCAAAAAAGATGCTCGCTGTGGATGGGGCAATCGCAGACAGTATCTTGCTCCCCACTGTCAATAGGCTATTTACATCGCCTACTCAACGTCATCTTGGGAGAACGCATGAGGGCATGATCTGAGAACATCAAGCATCATATCTGCCGGAAGAGGTTGTGTTGGCCCAATATACACTTAGGTGTTAAAGCAACTGCGTGCGTACCTGCACCCTACACTCTCGATGCTCTCGGACATCATGTGTCAGTTTGTCCTCCTCAGCACGCTTGAGCAGCTAAGTACGGCTCAAAAGTCCGTACCTTGTATTTATATCCCCGTGGACGCTCAAGAGCATATGGAAGGCTTTCCTATGAGCATTGGATTTCGACAAGGACATCCACTCGTTCCATTTTCGTCCAGTTTCGTTATCGATGAAGTAATGAGGCGAATTCTAGGGGATCTTAAGAATTCCGTGTTCAGATCCCTTCAAGCGAGAGCCTTATTGATCTGGAATTGGTAGACGAAATTGTCATGAATTTTGAACAAGAGGCCAAAGCAGTACTGGAAAACTTGACCAAGGTCCTTCAGTCCTTTGACATATGCCTCTGGTCTACAAAGTGCAGATTCATGCTTCGGGATGTATAATCTTTGAGCATGCTTCTAAGAATTCAAGGAGAGACAACATGCTGTGGAGCGTCATACTTATCTTGGAAGTTACATTAGCTCTGACGATAGCGCGATAGATAAACTGGGCGCAAAAATCTCGGAAACCAAAACTGTATTCGCCCATTCGCATCACTTTTGGTATCGAAAAGGTACCCCATTGGGTCTTAAATTACATGTATATCGGTCTACAGTGCGGGCTATGTTGTTGTGCACCTCAGCTCACCTTTTTGCGGGTCCAAGTCTAACGGCCACCACTCTTATAGTACATTTTCATAGTCCTCGAATAAATCTCCCAGTTTTGTCTCGAAAGCAAGGAGGCTTAGCACGTTACCGATCTCCATGTCTCTTCATTTTTTGCCCTTGACCACAGACAGACATCGTTCCTTGTTTTCCCTATATTTCCAGTTCACTGTGCGGTTCCCGGATGTTACAGAAGAAGGTCTTTACAGTTTCTATGTTCACAATTGCCCATCCGTTGAAGAAGGTTCGACAAAACGTCAGCCGATGAATCTGACAGTAAGTTCTCCCCATCAACAGCTGTGTGATCGGTTTTCGTGCTGAAGTAACACCTGGGTATACAGGACGTAGAACTTGCGTCTTACTGTTAATTTAGATAGTACGAACAATGCCGACCCCTTTCTTAGGATACCCAAGTGGAAAAATTCCCGCGATCATTTTACCTTTATCATCATCAAAAAAGTTCTGTATCTTATGCCTGCAGTTCTCCATCTTGACTCTCCTGTTATGTTGAGTCCTTGCGACACCTTTACTCTAGCGCCTCACGCTATGGCTGTCATTCCCTTATTCTCCTTTTCCTCGGTGAACGAAGCTGTAGCAGCGGGAAATCCTGCATTTGGGTGCACGGTTTGTGAGGACAAACGACTGAACAGCTTAGGTATGACTGTCCGATGGCTATGAGTGAACCACCTTCATCATTGGTAGTTTCATTCGTCAGAAGTTTGTTAGGGTCCAATACATCGATAGGCTAGAACAGCTTTCCACTTTTCCAAGGATCTTATGTTTCCTTCATTTCTTCGATCATCTGGATCCATGAAGCTCCTTGTCCATCAGGATACTACATTTGACGTTTGACAGTACGCTGATGTGTACTGAATACACCGGAACACGTCTCCAAGACTCAAGTGTGTCTCATCGTTGATCCACTGCTTCAAAAGAGTTTCGCAAGCAGAACGCCCAACATCTCGGGCAATTGTGCAAGCTGCTTTCCGGTGGGGATTTATTTCTCGAAGATTAATAAAAGAGGGTGAGTGAACATGTGCTACCGTCCGTCCTCATAAAGAAAATGAAGTTTCCAGAGAAAACTTCCACCTTTTTATGAACTTTCGAAAATCGTAAAGGTTTGGTGTTACGTTGGACCTGATATGAAATGAAATGAAGACAAAGCGAAAATAGTTGACGTCCATTTGTGTAACTCGAAGGGTCGGTGTTTGGTTTTAAGACCGTCTTTGCGTGCCACCAACGAAACAATATAGCCTTTTGAAATTTCCAGGTCTACGAGAGCATGATTAGAATTCCATTTACAGAAACGCAAATCACGATTTAGGTAGAGCATATAGGGTTGCCACCTTAATAGGAGCAAAAGGGCGACGACTGACTGTGAGACTATTTTACTTTGAAATAGAACCGGAAAGGCAAACTTTCCACATAATTTACACAGAGCTTCATACGCCGACCATTCGTACCGGGAGTTATTTGTTACTTCTTCCGAAAGCAAAATTAGAAGCAGGACTTAGTTGACAAGGTACTGCACGAAGGGGTTGCACAGTTTTTCGTGTGGCACCATCTTCGTCCTCATCATCGACAGCATAAAGTCCGTGTTCAACACGGACGCCTTGCTTCCGTATAGCCATGATTCACTTGAAGGCCTTATTGTAAAGAAAAGAACAAACGTGGATGAAGAAGAGACTTATTGCTAGCCTAACAGTCATTCCGAGGTGCCTCAACCTCCTGATACTCATTCAGGCTATCTGGATAGGAACTGACAAAAAGAACCTCATTCACATTGATTAGCAGTCATCTCTTGCAGCGTCTCCAACCAGACGCAGTGGGGATCACACAGTCCCCACCCTGGAAGGCGAAAAGCGCCGACAGTACCCAGACTTTTCGTAATCTCTTTCATACCTCTCTGTCAGGTCAAAGGTTGGCCACCTCTGTGCTGCCGCCACCCTGAATTGGGCACGGAAAACAACACTCTTCGGCATGCGCAATACACAGCCTAACCAACGCAACTTCTGGTGCTGGACATGTTCTTCAATGAAGGACCTCATTACACAACCGAACACTCAGTTTCTTATTTCCTCGTTACAGATCGGGTGACATCAACGCACGAACCATGGTTATAAGACAACGGTTGTCGAAGACGTGAAAACATTTCAGTTCCGCTACCTGAACAAGCCTAATCTCAGTCATACAATAAAACAGCCTGTACTGTAGCCTGGCACACACGTCTTTTGAGATACCGCCTTGACGTCACAGATGTTTCAAATTAGCAAACTCGATCTGAGCTTTGGATAATCGTGCATTGACGTATTCCACCCCTCTACAATCGGAACTGATACAACTTCGAAGATACGTAAAGCGCTCCACAACTTTGATTGCCCCTCCCTGGCATGTTCAGTAACTGCATATCAAGGAGCACGGTCTTACAATTTGTGGGTGCAAATCTCATGTCAAAGTACAGTATGACTGTTCAGTTCCTTCTCTTAGAAGAGGAGAACGATTTCATCTGCATATTCCGGATCGACAAAATTTTCGTTAGCAGCCACTTGAACACCAGTGTTTTGAAGACCTTCTAGTGTTCATCTCATTACCTTGTCGATCACGAAATTAAATAGGAATGGCGAGAGTGGGTACCTTCAACGAATCCCACTCTGTTTACGTAAGCTTTGGAGAACCGTATGCTCTGACACCACGGGAAATCCGGGAATACGGAGAACCTATTATGCTCAAACTTCCGGGGCATTCCTCGCTGGACAAGCACATCCACGAACGCATACCATTCAATCGAGTCGAATGCGGCCTGTTGAATTCTAAAATTGTGGGCTGCTTGTTCGTATGAGATTGTTGTAGCACTGACAGTGTGGTAATTTGGTCGTCGCAACCACTACCAAACCCGAATCCCTCTTGCTGCTCTCGAGTCAGTGATTCAGAAGCCAGCATAAGGCGACGAGTCAAGCGGAGGCCCCTGTGATCACTACATTCATCGCGAGTCCCTTTTTTGAAAATGTGCATTACCACCGGTTCTCCCCGGTTGTGTGGGACCTTCTCCTTTTCCCAAATGCTGGCAAACAAATAAAACCGCTGACTGAGGCCTTCACCCGCATCTTTGAACGGTGCCGGTGGAAGGCCATCCGAACCAGGATGGCTTTTGAGAGGCCATATGCAGTCATAAACCTTCTTGGCTAAAGGGATTACAGGTTCACTGTTCAAGGTTGTACTTCACCTGCAGGATCAAAATGAATGGCAGAGGGTGAGAATTGCTGTTTGAAGTATTCGGCCCATTGGTTGAGGCTTTATTCTTTATTGATGGTCACTTCAATTTGATCATTGATAGTTTTTCTCACCGGGAATTTATTCGGGCTGTTTGCGTGAATTAACTGAAATAATCAATGGGGAATTCCGGCTTCCCGGGCCTCTTGCATTTCCTTCCCCTTTTCGGTGCGACGGGGAATGCTGCTGCCAGAAATTTAAAATCTGACAGCATCGTGTGCTGTGGGACACTTCGGTCCAAAAATCTCTTCAGATTTTCAGTATACACCATACCAGTAATGAAAGAACCCCCTAGAGGTTTATGTCAACACTATTCTTCTGGAATGGTCTGAAAAGTACAGCCTACGGCCAGATATCTCAGTTTCTGGATAGACTGAAGGTTTGTCCAAACGTATGTCTACGGGTAGGTGGCAAGCACCTACTCTATTGTTCTGTTCTACACAACCTTTTTCGGCAAGGTTTGCGTACATGTGGCATTCGGCGATAAGGTCAAATACCGCGGTTGAGGTAAAGTTGCAAACTGTTTTCAGCTTGCTGGCTTTGAGCGTTTGAGCTGCATTGATAATGTGCAGAACCACTGATTTCTTTGCCCGATGGCGTCGGTTGATTTGGGGGCTATGTTAAATCGTTCGGGTTGCGCAAAACGTCCCTTCGTTATCATTTTATGAACTGAACGGATTGTTGTGGGTATAAAGTAATCACACCACGAAACACTGAGGAGTTTCCATTATCTGCAGTTTAGACTTTGTTTAATTTCTGGGAGCTGGAAGATAAAGCGGTAAAATGCTAAGCAAGACGGTGAACATTTAAACAATGCGGTAGACGCTGCTCATAAGCTTGCTGAAAACACTTCAACGTCTCACGACCGGTTTCGTTTCTGTTGAAGTTCTTCGGGCAGGTACAGTCTCCCAGTTTTCGTCAACCTTATGCCCTATTTGAACCCAAATTGCACTGATTTCAACATACACTCATTTGCACACGAATTTGGTTTTGACTAGACCATCTTAAGCAAAAGCTTCAGATGGTTTCAGCTGTCAACCAAATTCGTGTTCAAGAGGGCGGAGACACACTGCAGCACCACAGAACTGCTTAAGAAAGGAGAAAAACATCTACTCAGGGTATTCCAGAACAATGGATATCCAAGGAATTTTATCAAGAGAAGCTTGAAGAAGAAGACACCCCAACCACAGCAACAGCAAGAACAAGCCACCAGACGGGTAGTCCTGCCTTACATCAAGAATATATCAGAACTCGCGACCAGATTATTGGCTCAAAAAGGAATATTTGTGGCCCACAAACCGAATGCCACCCTGAGAAAATTAATCTCTAGACCGAAAGACAACCCGGACAAAACCAAGAAGAACAATGTGATATACCAACTCAACTGCAACAACTGCAACAAATTCTGCGTCGGACAAACTGGCAGGAGA